CGCAGAAGTGCTGAAGAGTTTTCGATAAATCATCAATGACCACAAGCGAAAGATCTGAAATCTTGCAGAACTGCTAATGTTTTTTCGATTAATCATCAACGATCCGAAGCGAAACATTTTTGGCAAAATGAAATGTTGCGAAATTGCTAACGATTTTTCGAAAAATCATCAATGATCCCAAGCTAAACATCTTTGGCAAAATACAAAAACCTTGCAGAACTGTTGAAGATTTTTCGATAAATCATCAATGATTCCAAGCGAAACATCTGAAATCTTGCAGAAATGCTAACGATTTTGGGTGATAGACAATTTTTCGGTAAATCATCAATGATCCCAAGCGAAACATCTTTGGCAAACTAAAATTTTGCAGAACCGCTGAAGATTTTTCGATAAATCATCAATGATCCCAGACGAAACATCTTTGGCAAACTAAAATCTTGCAAAACTACTAACGCTTTTTCGATAAATCATCAATGATCCCCGGCGAAACTGGTTAAACCGGTGGCGGTGTGTCGCGATTCTAAAATGGGAGAATCAACAAGTGTCCCCTTCCCCCCCAACGTTGGAAATTGTCGAGCCGTGGTCCCCATGCGTGAATCGCAAAAAATCGAGGTCAGAATAATGAAAATTTTCTATGCAGAAAGGGATTTTTTTTTTACCTTGGCAATTTGAAACAGCGCCTGCCTTCTATGTCGCTCCTGCTTCATTTTTCGCCTTTCTCTCTTCGCCTCCTTTTAAATCCAAATGAATATTTAAGAAATCGGCGTAAAAACAAATAAGTCACTTATCACTATTGAGAGTAATCGTCAACACACTGAGCGTCATCATTTTCGCTAGAGGTACACACAGACACAAAAAAATCAGTTTTTTTCTTCCTCTATTTAAAAAATGGCACAGACACACAAACACTGAGAGAGCGCGCAATGAAAGGAACACCTTGGAGAACACTCTTGGAGAAAAGGGTACTTTCTGACGCGAACGACGATGCAACAATGCCCGGATAGGGCCCCGCCGGCTTCTAATCGACAGCAGCGACGCAAAGGACTCCAACGGACAGGTGAGGAAGTAAAAAACGAGGGATAAACACGATACGAGTGAAACTATATAGAAACTCAACCTCAATGTGCCTCACACAATGCTGAGGAAGCATATAGTGTGGAATACTGTAGTTTACTCTTGAGTTTACTATATTGTGTTTACACTATAGTAAACACGGCCATCTTTACTACGGAGGACCGGCGTGGGTGAGAGAGGCCCTTGGGTCACTTGGTGCCTGGTGGGGCGCGAAACAAAAATATCGTGGTGGGGGGAGAGAACGGCGCTAGAGGCAAAAAAGGGCCAAGAGAGGGGGAGGGACGTGAGAACAGGGGTTAGTGGGGAGTAGAGTGGGGAACGTAAGAAGAGGGGTTAGTGGGGAAAGTAGCGAAGTAGGGAGGGGGGAGAAAAGTGAAGAAAAGAAGAAACCGGATTGGGAGAAGAAAGAGGCAGACGAACTTGGTGCCTGGGGCTGATTGGCGATTATTGGTGGGGATAGGGCCTCAAGAGAGTTCGGATGTAAGAGGGAGAGGGGGGGGGAGAATCTTGATACACGAAGGAGAGGAAGAAACCGGTAAAGAAAAGTCTCTCACGGGACTACGTTTTACGCTACGTTACTCCGCTACGATTTCGTTACGCAATTTGATTTTTGAGTATAAGAATGATGATGATGATGAGTAATTTTGGGAGACGAGTTTCGGTTGTAGAAATACAATTCTGGCAGTGGGAGTGGGAGTATATCCTTGAAGGAGGGCAACGTCGTTAGTTTGCCCACTGTGCGTTTAACGATTTTATGGAAATTACCAGATCGCATATAGGTACACGTTGATTTTTCATTTTCCAGACGATTGGCCGTGAAATTGACACGGGGAATTACTGTCAATCGAAATGGGAATTTAATGAAATTGGAAGATAAGTTTTTGAGAAATGAGTCAAGATTATGTCTATAAAATCTTTATTTATGTAATTTGTTTAAAACAAGCGGATTTTGTCAAATGAAGGAAATTTTTAATTTTTCCCCAAATAGCATAGAACAGCCTTGACCATTTGCTTACGTTTTTTTCTATTTTTTTTTACCAAACTTTCTTCTACTTTTTCATGGGCTTTTAATTCTCAAGTTCTGAAGGTGAAAAGGAAGAAACTTATAAGGGTTGAAATGTACTTTTCAAAGAGAGTTTCTATCAATAGTTGGCAAAAGCAGTTAAGTTAAGACGGCGTAAATTTGGTAGAAGCAGCGCAGAGCGGCAGAAAGAGCAGAGTGAAAAAGAGCGTTCGAGTTTTAGAAAATGTATGAAATACTGGGAAATAGGAAGAAAGGTTTATGGAGGTTCAGTGGAGGGGAAAAAAAGGAAAACGCAAGGAAAAAAGGATCTTTGCCAGGTTCATCTCTCTTTGTTATCAATGGAGCGCGTGTAATTTTTGAAACTTCTCTTTTTTTTATGAATGCATCATCCACCTTGTTGGAAATTCGTTGCATTTCAACACTAGTTCTATCTTAAAAAAGTGCACTATAGGGTGCCAATCTAGATTAGGATTACAGCCACCATGACATACGAAACTAAATTCTTTGTCTAGACACTAGAACATTTTTTTTTTTTTTTTTTTTTTTTTTTTTTGAAGTAATCGTCAACGAACTTTTACCTCAATTTTTCGGAAATTTAAAAAGTATAAAGAAATAATATATGGAGAAAAATTGTAACAGTTACATAAGTTGTCTATAGTTATATATACATTCTTCGCAAGAATTAAATTATTTTTATAAATAATAAAATTCTTCTCAGGAATTTAATTATTTTTAAAAATTTAAATAATAATCGTTGGAAGAATTCAATTACTTTTATAAATATTAAAACTCATTGTAGGATTTCAATTACTTTTTAATACAATTTTAAATGAATTCTATACGAAAAATGCAAATATTTAAAATGATTTTAATATAATAAATTAATAAAAATTCAATTATTTTTAGGCATTTTAATAAAATTCTTTGCAAAATTCAATTATTTTCATAAATAGGAACAATATTCATCACAAGAATTCAATTATTTTTAAAAGTAATAAATTTCTTCTTGTAAATTCAATTATTTTCAAAAATTCTAATAAAAATTTCCCAAGAATTCAATTATTTTCATAAATAATAAAATTCTTCTCAGGAATTCAATTATTTTTTAAAAATCCTAATAAAATTCTTGGCAAAAATTCAATTATTTTCATAAATAAAAAAATTTTCACAGGAATTCAATTAGGTATTTAAAACAGAATTTTCCTAATATTTTTTTGAAATAATAAAATGCTTTAAAACGATTCAATTATTTTAATAAAATTCTTTGCAAAATTCAATTATTCTTAGGAATTTTAATAAAATTCTTTGCAAAATTCAATTATTTTCATAAATAGGAACAATATTCATCACAAGAATTCAATTATTTTAAAAAATAATAAATTTCTTCTTGTAAATTCAATTATTTTCAAAAATTCTAATATAAAAATTTTCGCATTAATTCAATTATTTTCATAAATAATAAAATTCTTCTCAGGAATTCAATTATTTGGAAAATTTTAATAAAATTCTTTGCAACTATTCAATTATTTTCATAAATAATAAAATTCATCGCAGGATTTCAATTATTCTTTGAAAGAATTGAATTATTTTCAAAAATATTAGAATTTTTCTCAGGAATTCCATTATTTTTAAATATTTTAATAAAATTCAATTGTTTTCATAAATAACATTATTTATCACAAGAATTATTCAATTATTTTCATAATTAATAAAATTCTTGACAGAAATTCAATTATTTTCAAAAATTTATATAATAATTTTGTCAGGAATTCAATTATTTAAAAAAAATTAATAAAATTCCCTAAAATCGAATTATTTATCAAGAGTATAATAAAAATTTTCGCAGAAATTCAATTATGGTAAAAATTTTTTTAAAAAATTCCCGACGTATTTTCAATTACCATTATAAATAATAAAATTCTTCTTCAAAATTCAATTATTTTCAAAAATTTGAATAAAATTTTTTAAAACGATTCAATTATTTTCACAATTTTTTCGTAATTCAATAATTTATAATATCTACTACATTAATAAACAATTTCCTAAAAGAATTTAATAATTGAAAAAAAATGTTTTTAAAATTCTTTGCAAACATTCAATTATTTTCATAAATAAAAAAATTTCACAGGAATTCAATTATTTAAATAGATTTTTATAAAATTCTTCGCAAGCATTCAATTATTTTTATAAATAAAAAAATTCTTCTCAGGAATTCAATTATGTTTTAAAATTTTAATAATAATCGTTGCAAGAATTCAATTATTTTTTAAAATTCTAATAGTAATCGTTGCAAGAATTGAATTATTTTTATAAATTTTCTAACTCATCGCAGGATTTTAATTATTTTTAATAATTTTAATATGAATTCCGCAAAAAACGCAATTATTCTTCAAAATTTGAATAAAATTTTTTTTTTTTAATTGAATTGTTTTCAATATAATTTTAATAAAATTTTTTTCAAAGATTTCAATTATTTTTATAAACAATATACAATTTTTAGAGAAATTCAATTATTTAAATAATAAAATTCATGGCACGAATTCAATTATGTTTCCAAATCTTAATAATAATTGTTGCAAGAATTGAATTATTTTTATAAATATTAAAATTCATCGCAGGATTTCAATTATTTTTAATACAATTTTAAAATTAATTCAGCTAAAAATGCAATTATTCTTAAAAATTTGTATTAAATTCTTCGAAAAATGCAATTATTTAAAGAAATTTGATAGGTATAATTTGTTTCTTAGAGTGTAATAATTATTTTCAATTCATTTTTAATTACTGTTCTTGAATGAATTTAATTATTATTAAAAATTTTAATGCAATTCTTCGTAAAAATTATAATAATTAAAAAATAATGTTTGATTTAAAAATTTTTTTCCTTTTCTGTGTGTTTCAGGTGAGTTTTACATATTTCTCCGGAGGAGTTTATTTCGTAAGTAAATATACAACATTGAAATATACATAATTATAATTATATATTATAAGTATCTAATATTTAATTATCAAAGGAATAATTTAAAAATTCAGATTCGTTTATGTGACTGAAAAATATAATCAGTTCCACAATATTTTTATAGAGTTGATAATTAATTAAATTGAACGAAAATATCGGGGATTCGTTTTGTAAAATTTCTTTCCAAATATTTATTGAGAGCATAATTATAACCTAGTTTAATTTATAGAATGTCATTAACTGTTTTCGTTACTATTTTCTAACAGCTATAGTTAGAAAATAATTGAATTTTCAAAGAGTTACAGTTAATTTCACAAGAAATAGTAAAATATACAAGCAAGCAATTTCTTATTTCATTATATTATACATATTTAAAATTTTAGAATTTACATTTGAAAACTGAATTCTAAAAATATATAAATAAATTTAATGAGTAGGAAATTTGCATATGAAGTGTGTGCGTGCGGTAATTTTTACAATAATAATCACAGTTGGAAAAAGAGATTAGAATAAAAATAGGTCTCCTCTTCATCTACAAAACGTGCTCTTTTTACGGAGAGTGCGTTTTGTCGCATATGAAATCCAGAGTGGTTCTGGAAACCGGTTTTTGCGCGACGATATACACACAAGGCAGTTGTTCATGCAAAGGAGTCGGAAGTTTACCAAGTAAGAACCTTAGGTAATTTTTTTTTCTCTTTTGCAAAAGGACCACGCACATAAATCCACCAAAGATTTTCTATTCTCTCAATTTCATTTCATGTTTCTCCCCTTTTTTTTAAATACTTCCGCCTTCTTTGTTTCCTCGTCCATAGCGATATTCTTCTCTAGGTAAAATATTTTCAGGATTATTTAAATTATAATTTAAATTATTAATAACTAATTATTAATAATTAATTATTAATAATTTAATTATTAATAATTTAAATTATTATTTTAATTATATTCATACAAGATTTGTTTACTGAAAATCATATTTAAATTTTTTATATTCATTAAGAATTTTCTTCATGTTTTATAATAATAATCTTCTACACTGGAAAAAAAATTTATTTGATTCAATAACCGATTAATTGACTATCAATTAAATATTTACTTGAATCAAATAATAATTATTGGAGTCAATTAAATGATATTTGAACCAATAGTTTCAGTATTTGAAGCAAATATGAATTGAACCATTTACTTGACTCCAATAAATATTATTTGATTTAATTAAATATTTAATTGATAATAATCAATTAATTGGTTATTTGAATTAAATTTTTTTTCAGTGTAAGTTGATGAATTTCAAAAAGGTTTGAATTTAAATGTTTTGAGAATCTCATTAATTTTCATATTATTATTTATGAATCTAATTTATTTATTTTCTAATCATTATTAGAAAATATTTTCCAAAACTATATTTTATTTATTGAATAATTGAGAGAGTTTTATTGGGCAACACGATTTTTGTAATAAAATGTAAATATTCGGTTCGAATGTGTGTGGAATATTGAATAGAGTACCTCATAGGGTTTTCAGCTGAGAGCGTAACTCTTGCTGTCCTGTAAATCAGGACCGGTTGCGCGGGTGTCAGTTAAATCACTGCTTATACAGTATGGATGTCTAGCCACCGATCAACAAACGGGAAATTTTCTCCCAATGATTACAAAAAGTCATTTTCTAATACCAAATTATACAATTTTTCTCCAGAAAAATGTTGAGGAAATTTGAAATTAGAAATTTAAATGTTCATTTGAAAATATTGATTTCCTTGTACCTATAATAAAAAATAAAATACGGGAAATATTAGTTTCTTAGTACTTTCTTCCGCACAGTTTTGCTAAGAATTGAAAATTGAGAAAAAATTATAATCAAATTCTTTAAAACGTTTCAATTATTTTTAAAAAAATATTGCAAATTCAATTATTTTCAATATCTAGTATTTTCAAAAAATATTCGAAATTCAATTATTATTAATATCTCGTATTTTCATAAAATTTCGCAAAAGAATTCAATTATTTTAAAAAAATTGATTAAATTCATTTAAAATTCAATTATTTTTATCAACAATAAAATTTTCACAGAAATTCAATTATTCTTTTTAAATATTTTAATAAAATTTTTCCCAAGAATTCAATTATTTTCATAAATAATAAAATTCTTCTCAGGAATTCAATTATTTTTGAAAATTTCAATAAAATTCTTTGCAACTATTCAATTATTTTCGTAAATAATTAAATTCATTGCAAGATTTAAAGTATTTTTAATACAATTTTACAGGAATTGCTCATGAAATGTAATTATTCTTAAAAATTTAATTTCGATTCCTCGAAAAAATCAATTATTTAAAAAACTTTTTTTTTAAATTCTTTGGAAGAATAAATTCAAATATTTACAAAAATATTAGAATTTTTCACAGGAATTCAATTATTTTCAAATATTTTAATAACATTGTTTGATAGAAGTTAATTATTTTAAATACAATTTTAATACATTTTTTTGAAATAATTTAATTATTCTGTTAAATTATAAAATTCTTCCCAAGAATTCAATTATTTACGTAAATAATTATTCGAAAGAATTGAATTATTAAAGATAAATAACAAAATTATTCCTGAAAATTCAATTATTTTGAGGCATTTTAATAAAATTTAATTATTTTCATAAATAACAATATTCATCAAAAAAATTCAATTATTTTTAAAATGAATAAAATTGTTGGCAGAAATTAAATTATTTTCAAGAAATCTAAAAAAATTCTTAACATTTCAATTATCAATATAAATAAATAGCAAAATTCTTCGACAAAAATCAATTATTTTCAGGGATTTTAATAAAATTCATTGCAAAATTCAATTATTTTTGAAATTAATAATATTCTTCGCAGAAATTCAATTATTTTCAATAAATTTAAATAAAATTGTCAACATTTCAATTATCTTTATAAATGAATAGCAAAAATCTTCGACAAAATTCAATTATTTTCAGAGATTTTAATAAAATTCATTGCAAAATTCAATTATTTTCAAAAGTAATAATATTCATGTCAAAATTTCAATTATTTTGAAATATTTTCCTTAATTCAATGATTTTTAATATTCTACTATTTTAATAAAATTTCCGAAAAGATTTCAATTATTAAACAAAATTCTTGATAAAATTGTCAGGAACATTAAATTATTTTCCAAAAAAATAAAAATTTTACAGAAATTCAATTATTAAAAATAGAATTTGCATTATTTTATTCGAAATAGTCAAATGTTTTAAAATTTGGCACTAAATTATTCGCAGTAATTTAATTATTTTCATTAATTTTAAAATCCTCAAAATCCCATTCAGGGATTTAATTATTTTCATTAATAATAAACTTATTCAGAGGAAGTCAATTATTTTCATAAATAACGATATTCATCACAAGAATTCAATTATATTTTCAAGAATTTTAATAAAATTCAATTATTTTGTGACAGATATTATTTAAAGAACCTCTAAATTGCATCAACTGCACAATAAATTATTTAATAAAACAAAGGGGAGATTCCGCTTCGGACCCAAACCGATTGATGCGAAAACGGCGAGACAGAACGACAGGTTTCAAGAATTATTTATGGACTTACCAAAGTCGAAACAACGGCAACAAAAATGAGAAAACACAAACACAACAATTTACCAATAATAAATATTAAACACGGATTCAAATCAACACTCGCATTTATTTATTACTATTTACACTTTAACTTGTTATTCAGAATTACGGCAAAGATAATTAATTGACTATACTTTACAAACTTATAACGAACTGACTCGAAAGCAATTAATTATGGTAATGATGCCGGCCGGCTTCCTCTCGCGACGCTTCCTCGAAGATCCAACAGACGAACTCCTAAACCGCTTCACCCATTGGACGCTGGAACCACCGCACACGACGAAACCCAAAACCTCCGGCCCAATCACAAAAGACCCGCGAATATTCAAAATGAATATTAAACGTAAATAACCAAAAAGGAAAATCATAACGAAATGCTTCGTTACAATTTTCAAGAATTTTAACAAAATTCAATTATTTTCAAGAACTTTAATAAAATTCACTTATTTTCAAGAATTTTAATAAAATTCTCCTAAAGAATTCAATTATTTAAATAGAATTTTGACATAATTCTACACGAATATTCAATTATTTTCCGAAAATAATGAAAATTTCATATAGGAATTCAATTATTAAAAATAAAATTTCCATAAAATTTTTCGAAAAAAATCAATTGTCTAAAACTTTTTTGTAAAAATCTTCGTAAGAATTCGATTATTTTCATGAATAATAAAAATTTCTTTAAATTCTTTCGCATGAATAATAAAAATTTCTTTAAATTCTTTCGCATGAATAATAAAATTCGTTGTAGGAATTCAATTTATTAGCAGTAGGATAAGAAAGAAAGCAGTAGGATAAGTAAATATTTCTGATGAAAATTAAGAAAATAAAATATATGGAAAGGAAGTTTTTTCAGTTTTGTGAAATGTCTAAAATGAGTTTTTTTGGTCATCAAGTTTAATGTTTCGGTAGCTACTTTTTCACTACCTTTTCTTTTAGTTTGAAAGCTACTTTTTGCTACTTTTTTAAGATTAATTATCGAGTACGAAGTCTGCTAATATTATATGCATTGAAATATTAGATAACTGATTTTGATAAACATGTTTAGTTATACATTTCTAATATTGTTGATATAATTCTACTTAATTGCTGAACCATTAACTCCGATATCTAGACCATTATATATGATAGCGAGTTGCATAAATCAGAAAATACTATAACTGATCTATATTACAATTGACAAATAGCAACAATTTATAATTTTATATGCACTCAACTTCTTTCTTAAGTCTGTATACTTATTTTTCACTTTTCTTATCCGTAAAATTCATCCGCGTATATAAAAAACACAGTAAAATGTATGCAAGTTCAATTTAGATTTAAAACGAGCGTACAATTTAAAATGACCATATAATTGAACTTATAATTCAGCCGAGAACTTTGTGAATATAATAGAATCCATCCAATTTCAATTTGTAAATTATTCATACTGTATAATTCATTCGGAGAAATACCATCATTTCTAGTCTTCCTGATTTTAATAATCTACTAACTTTTACAGAAGAAGAAAATAATAATAGTTTTACTAAATTTATAAATTATAAACACTAAAAGATACTAATCAAATTCTTTCACTTTCAACTTCAAGTCATGTAAATACACGTACGTAATGTATAAATCTAATGGCAAAGTTCGTTCGATTATGCTTACATGATATGATATAATATATAATAAAATGGGCGGATTTGAAAATCAAAGTATGAAAGTTCTTTACAATGGAAAATTGTAATGCTTGGGACCTGTGTTACCATTGTTCCATATGGAAAACGGAGCAGATATTCTCGCTTTGAGTTGTAAGAAAACGCTAATTTGTTCTTGAAGAAAATGTCACCTCACTCCAGTCATCAAGGAGGTGCATGAGTTCTCCTTTGTTCCTAGTGACTTTACTGCTAAACCACAGATATAACTCTGGCTCTCCCTTTTCACACAAAGACTCATTACTTACCATACATTACACTCCCACTTGTGAAATTCCTCCTAAGGCGCCTTTTTCAATTCTATTTTTTTCAAAATCAAAATATTGTCCGGAATCGATAATTAAATTGTTCTCCGAACAATAATTGTTGCACTGATAGAAAAATTATATACAATGAGTGTTTAAAGTTAAACGTCTGACTAATGTTGATTTTTACTATACTTTAAAGAAAAGAAAGTAGAATTTAAAACAAATTTGATTTTATCATATTTTATAATATTTATTTTATCAAATAAATATTTGATTAAAAAATATTTGAATTTAAAAAATTAAAAGTTAATGGAAATGATTTTTGAACCATTTTTCCACACAGCTATTTAGCTACTATAATATTATTTTTATAAATAAGTTACAAAAAAGTTATTTCGTTTGCCACATAAACTATGGAATTGCCACGAATTCTAATACAAAACTTCAATTTTTTCCATTTCTGCAAATAATTTCTTTTTGAATAACTTAACTCTATTGAAGAACTGCCATAAAATTATTACTTATGAATCATTATTTAGTGAAATATTTTTTTTGAAAAATTTTAATTTCAATTCTGTTGAAATTAGTTTCAGTTTAAAAAATTGTAAAGCAATTCTTCAAAAGAATTCAACTGTTTTAATAAAATATCAAAATTTTTTCCAGAAATTCAATTATTTTCAAATTTTCTTTTAAAAATTCTCGTCAACATTTCAATTATCTTTATAAATAGAAAAATTCTTCGCCGAAATTCAATTATATTCAGGAATTGTAATAAAATTCTTCTCAGAAATTCAATTATTTTTAAAAATAATAAAATTCTTAACAGAAATTCAATTATTTTCAGGGATTTTAATAAAATTCATTGCAAAATTCAATTCTCATTTATTCAATTATGTTCAAAAATTTTTAAAAAGTTCTCGTCCAAATTTCAATTATTTAAAAAAATTTTAATAAAAATTCTTGTCCTTCTCAAAAACTTTTCCTGAATTCAATGATTTTCAATACCTATAATAACATTTTTTATGGGAATTCAATAATTATTTTCACAAATAATAGAATTCTTTTTAGAAATTCAATTATTTTCATAAATAATAAAACTCATAGAAGAATTTCCATTATTTTTAATACAATTTTAATCGAATTCCTCGGAAAATGTAATTATTCTTAAAAATATTCATCACAAGAATTCAATTATTTTCAAATGTAATAAAATTCTATTTTAGAAATTCAATTATTTTTAAAAATTGTATAAAACTAATCTACAAGATTTCAATTATATTTAAAAATAGCAAAATACTTTGCTGAAATTCAATTATTTTCAAAAATTTCTTAGTTTAATGATATTCAATTCAACTATTTTAAAAAAATTTTCCCAAAAGAATTTAATTATTTAAAAATAAATTTTTGATGAAATTCTTCTCCGAAATTCAATTATTTTCAAAAATTTTAATCAAATTTTTGTCAAAATTTCAATTATTTTCATAAATTTTTCTCAATTCAATGAGTTTCAATATGTACTATTTTAAAAAATTTCCCAAAGAATTCAATTATTAAAAAAACAAATTTTGATAAAATTGTATACAAACATTCAATTATTTTCATAAATAACAACAATTTCATAAGAATTCAATTATTTAAAAATTAATTGGAATAAATTATTTCGAAAAAAATCAATTTTTCAAAAATTTTTTATGAATTCAATTATTTTTTATGAGTAAATAAATTTAATTCTAAAAAACATTTAATTGTTCAATAAATTATTTATTTTTGTCTTTAAATAATTGAATTTTCGTAGAAGTTTCTAATAAAAATAGATTTAAAAATGAATTTCAGTTAAAATTTTTGATAATAATTGAATATGAAAAACATTATAAAAATAAATTTTATGAAATAATTGAATTTTGAGAAGGTTTGAAAATAGAATCTTTTAAAATTTGAATTTTTCATACTAAAAAATTCTCACAGAACTTTTTCAAAAATTATTAAGCAAATTTAAGAATAATTGATATAAAGAATAATCTTAATTAAAAATTCTAGAAAATAATATTTTAATTGAAATGATGAAAATAATTTTGAAGAATTTACAGTAACAATATTCTAAAAAATAAAAAATAATGATTTTATCATTCGGTCATCTTTAATTATTATAAGTTGTTGTATATCAAAAAGGTTTGAATTTGAATAATTTTAATTCCTATGGAAAAATAGTAATGATTAAATATTTATTTAAAAAAGAAGTTATATTCATGTTTTCGAATAATTTTACTCTTGAAGAAATTTGTAAATAAATGTAATAGAATATTTTTTTGAGCTTGTAATAATTTTTAGAGTGAATCAGAATATTCTTTAGGATCGGGGAAAAAGTCAAAATTTTTTCTAGAAATCAGGGAATAATCAGGAAAAAAAAAATATTTGTGACCACCCTGAATGTGTGACTATTTGGAATTATTTTGAATATTTTACGACAATTTTTAAATTTTTTATTTATAAATTTAGTTTGAGGCCTCAGAGCTTTTTTACATTTTCTTTACAGTATAATGTTTAAACGCATTTTTTTTTTTTTTTTTTTGAAAATAATTTTTGAAATATGAATATTAATAATATTGGATAGAGTATTAAGGTTAAAATTTGTCGTCATTCGTGATGTTTAGAATGACCCATATTTTTCATGATCCAGTCGTAGAAGGCAGATATTTTTGTATAAATTCCGGGATATCCAGGACGAGCACAACCATCTCCTCCCATTACAATTCCTATCAGTTTCCCATTTAAAACTGCTGGACCACCGGAGTCACCAAAGCAACTATCGACTCCTCCAGTTTCCATGTATCCAGCGCAAAATACACGATCGCTCAGGGGATCTAGAGAATAGATTTTTTTACATTCATCCTCCTCTACCACTGGAACAAAAGCAGTCCTCAGAACTGTCGAGCCAATTCCATTTTCCTGTTTTTTTTCAAATTTTTATTCAAAATTATTCAAAGTTTCTGTTTCTGTTTCTATTTCTATTTCTATTTCTATTTTAAGTTTTACAGAAAATTTTGGTGTTTAAATAAATACCCGACAGTTTTCTCTATTACACTGAAAAACAAATTTTAAATAATTTTTTTTTTCAAATAACCGATTAATTAACTATTACCAATTAAATATTTACTTGAATCAAATAATATTTATTAGGGTCAATTAAATTATATTTGAACCAATAAATTCAGTATTTGAAGCAAATACCATTTAATTGACTTCAATAAAAATTATTTGATTTAATTAAATATTTAATTGATAATTGTCAATTAATCGGTTATTTGAATCAAATAAATTTTTTTTTCAGTGTAATTCTCCATGATTATTATTTAAACGAGCAACGAATAATAATAAGCATTTAGAAAAACATAAAAGTGAGAAAATTAAAAAATAATAGTAAACCTACATTAGTAACTCCAAAGCCGGAAATTTGTATTTGACTACCAGTTGATAAATCATCATCAATTTTTGCCAAAGGAATTGCACTTTTTGTCTCTTTCATTTCAATAGGTCGATCTAACTATGATAAATAATATTTATACTTAATATTAATTTATTTGAAGGACCTTAATTGGATAAATAATAATTTTGACTTTTTTGTAACTTTCTTGGACCAAAGGCCACAAAAAAGTTAAAATTATTAATTATATTTAATTTTGAATCCATTTCTTTGAAAAATAATATAAAATTTAATATTTAATTATTATCATCACTTAAAAGTATCAAATCGCAAGAAATTATTGATAATAAAAATATGGATTAAATCAGAAATTGATCCAAATTTTTGGTATCAATTTGACACTTTCAAGAAAACTCTGATTGTATATTATGCGGTAAATTCAATAGAATTATTATTATTATTATTATTATGAAAATAAATATGAATATTAATAATAAAATATAAATATTTATGTGTTAGCGAATATTTTTAATTACAAAAAATAGAAACTAGGAAGAAATTTAAATGAGATACCTTTATTAAAGCAATATCATCATTATAACCTGTATCATCTCGTCGGCTATATTTTTCACGATACCTTATCACTTTATCAATTTTGTGTTCTTCGCCGCCATAATATTTCTGAGATGTTCCTAACCGAACTGTATAACCTGATTGCAATCTAAAAAAAAAATTACAAACTTAATGTAAATTCTAGTAATTTATTTTTAATTACACACACAGACAGACTATTTCTGACAATAATTTATTTTAAATAACTTAATTCTATTGAAGAACTGACATAAAGTTAATATTTATAAATCATTTAATAAAATATTTTTTTCAAAAATTTTAATTTCAATTCTGTTGAAATTAGTTACAATTTTAAAAATTTTAAAGTAATTTTTTGAAAGAATTTAACTATCTTAATAAATGTCAAAATTCGTTCCTAAAATTCAATTACTTTCAAAAATTTTACAAAAAAATTCTTTGCAAAATTCAATTATTGTCATAAATAACAAAATTCATCACAAGAATTCAATTATTTTCAAAATTAATAAAATTCTTCGCAGAAATTCAATTATTCTCAAAAAATCTAAAAAGAATTGTCGTTAACATTTTAATTAACTTTATAAATAGAAAAATTTTCTCTAAAATTCAATTATTTTCAGTAATTTTAATAAAATTCTTTACAAAATTCAATTATTGTCATAAATAACAATATTCATCTCAGGAATTCAATTATTTTCAAAATATTTTTAAAAATCCTCTTCAATATTTCAATTATTTTTTGTACATAGCAAAATTCTTCTCCAAAAATTCAATTATTCTGAAAATTTAAAAAAAAATTTTCGTCAACATTTCAATTATCTTTATAAGCAGAAAAATTTTCTCTAAAATTCAATTATTTTCAGTAATTTTAGTAAAATTCTTTGCAAAATTCAATTATTGTCATAAATAACAATATTCATCACGAGAATTCAATTATTTTCAGAATTCATAAAATTCATGGCAAAATTTCAATTATTTTCCAAAAATATTTTAAAATAACTATCTCAGTAATTCAATTATTTTCATTAATAATAAAATCATTCAGAGGAAGACAATTATTTTTATAAATAACAATAGGATTCATCACAAGAATTCAATTATTTTCAAAAGTAATAAAATTCAATTATTTTCAAAAATTTTAATAAAATTCTTGTCAAAAATTTCAATTATTTTCAAAAATGTTTCTTAATTCAATAATTTGTATACCTATTATTTTAATAAAATTTTCTAAAAGAATTCAATTATTTAAAAACAATTTTTTTCACAGGAATTCAATTATTGAAAATGGAATTTGCATTAATTTTTCGAAAAAAATCAATTGTCTTAAACTTTTTATAAAATTCTTCCCAATAATTCAATTATTTTCATAAATAATAAAATTCATTGTAGAATTTCAATTATTTTTAATACAATTTTAATCCAATTCTTCGAAAAATGTAATTATGCATAAAAATGTTATTAAAATTCGTCGAATGAATTTATTTATTTAAATATTTGTTAATAAAATTATGTATAAGAATCCAACTTTAAAAAATATCCAATTATTTAATAAATTATCAATGTTTATATTTGATTTGTATTTAAAATAATTGAATTCTCTAATATAGAATTTTATAATAAAAATTGATTTAAAAATTAATTTCTGATAATGTTTTTAGATAATAATTGAATTTTGTAAAGGTTACAAATTAAAATTTTTGAAAATCTAAATTTTTCCATACTTTTAATTATAATTTCCCTGAAACTAATTTTTTTCAAAAAGCTCGAAATTATTTAAAAATATTTCCAGTTTTTATTTTCTTCTTTATTTAACTGAAGAATTTCCGAATAATCGATGAAATTTCGTAAAATTGAATTGTAAACCAATGAATTTGATAATTCTCAAAAGAATTTTATAAAAAATTATTAAAAATAATTGATTTAAAGAAGAATTTTTTAGATAAAAATTGTAGAAAATAATAATTTAATTGAAATCAGGGAAAAGTCAGGGAAAAATTAAATTAAATTTTTGTGGCAACCCTGGTTAATGAAAGCAGTTAATTTTCTTTCTTTTATTACGAAATACGTAAATTAAAACTAAACGAAAAATTCTCAACTTTGATAATAATGAAGTTAATTGTTTGTAGATTTTTTATTTTCCATAGAAAATTAGAAACAAAAAAGTCTAGAAATTTTAATTTATAATAATAATTATCTAGATTTTTTATTTTTAATGTTCTCTAAAAAAAATTAGAAATAAAAAAATCTAGAAATAATTACAGAATATTAACAAAGATAAAGAAGACCCGAAAAGATTAATCATAAATCAATTTAATAAAAATATTAACGACTAAAATTTACATTTAATTACTTTTTAAGTTTTTAATGAAACACGAAAAGTTTAAATTAGTTACTACATTACGAAAAGCATTTAAAAATTTTATCAATATTAATTTGTTTGGCAATTGATGTGTATATGAAATTATAACACACCAGAGTGAAAAGTTTCAAATTATATCGATCAGTTTTGCAATAATAATTAATAAAAGTTACTAACTCTTGAACACAATGTGCGGCAGTTATAAGCCATAACTTGTCTATAATGACAGCTCCACATCTGTAGTTTCCGTCATGAAAAATAGCTGCCTGTAAATATGTGTGACACAAAAAAGTTTTTCGAAATAATTTCATTCTAATTACATAGCTAAATACTTGATATTTACTCTATTATTAAACTCATTAAACTCCTGTTAAACTGCTGTTATTAATTATTTCAATATTTTTTCCCATTTTTTTTTTCTTTTTTTTTTGCTCGAAATTATTTTCTAACCGTGGAATGTGTTAATTGCACCAGTGTAATCAATCATATTGAAATAGTTTTGAAACGCGATCAAATTTTTAATTTGAAATTCCGGAAACGATCAATTCTACATATTAATGAAATTCCGTTGTTTTTGAATTGAGAAAAATTATTTCAAAAGTACGGATTAAAAATTAATTTTCTTTTTCAATACATTACCATGTATGGCACTTGATTTATATCGGCAACTTTCCCACCAATAATGGATTTAACCAAAAAGTCATAGTACAAATCTGATGAATAATTATTATTTTTTTGTTAAATTTGAGTTAATTTTTAAAATTCTATAATTTTTAAATTTTTAAATTATTTAAAAATTAAATAAAAGTAAATAAGTATAAAATTGAAAAATACCGCAGGTTGTAATAGAAGATGAAATGAGAAGGACGAGCGTTACGAGAAAATTCATGACTTTTGTGAAATTTAAAACGAATAGTTATAAAATAAAAATTTATCATCACATGTACAGTTATCTGAGGCGTTATGTCAGTTGCGTACGTATATATAGTAGATTGTAGAAATCTTCATCCGGTTTTGACACACTGCAAATGTCATTGAGTTGCATTTTAATTTAAACTAAGAAATTCTCTATATTAAACGTCATTAAAAATTCTCACAAAAAGAAACCAGAAAGAGGCATTAAAAATTTCCATAAATCTCGTCACAATACCGCAGGAAAAAACAACTAAATTTTGCAATATTTAAAAAATTCCATCATTTCATTTACTCCTTTTATATTTTTTTATTATATTATATATTTTTAGTTTGGAAAATTTTTCTTTAGTTTTAAAAATTATAGATTTACTTATAAAAATGAATATCATGAATCAAACACAAATTGAAACTTGTAAAATTATTTTTCAGTATAAAATAATAGAAGGATTTTTGAAATTTTTTTTTAATAATTTAGATTCTTCGGAAATTAGTTAAATTTTTTAATATATTTAATTAAATAATCATTAAAAATAATGGATTTTTAGAAAAGTTTCAGTTAAAAAGACTTCTAAAAAAATTGAATTTTGGAGAAAAAATTATTGCAAAAATTCAATTATTTTCAAAAGTAATAAAAATTCTTCTCAAAAATTCAATTACTTTAAAAAATTTCAATTATTTTTTTAAAACAATAAAATTTTTCTCCAAAATACAATTATTTTCAACAATTTTAATAAAATTCTTGTCAAAATTTCAAATATTTTCAAAAGTAATAAAATTCTTTTCAGAAATTCAATTATTTTCAAAGAATTTCAATTACTTTTGAAAATAATAAAATTTATCTCAGAAAATCAATTATTTTCAACAATTTTAATAAAAAATAATTTTTGACATAATTTCAATTATTTTTAAAAAGTAATAAAATTCTTCTCAGAAATCCAATTATTTTCAAAAAATTTCAATTACTTTTAAAAATAATAAAATTCTCTTTCGAAAATCAATTATTTTCAAAAATTTTAATCAAATTCTTCTCAGAAATGAATTTGTTTTCAAAAATTTCAATTACTTCTAAAAATAATAAAATTCTTGGCGAAATTTCAATTGTTTTCAAAATTTTTTATAAAATTCTTGGTGATCGCTTTCTTCATGTTTTATAATAATTGAAACTTGCTATTTTGTTTACTGTAACTTCTTCAAAAATTATTTTCATCATTACGATTATTCATTTCTAGAATTTTCAACTAAAATTCTTCAATTTTTTTTTAATCATTTTTGAAAAATTTCTTTGCGAATTTACAAATTTTTTTGTTTACAATTTAATTTTACGAAATTTCGATTATTCTGCGACATTCTTCAATTAAATATATTAGAAATTAGAAACTTTAAATAATTTAAAAAAATTCCATTAAACTTATTGAGAAAAATTTATTCTATAAAATTCTTAATTAAAAGTATGAAAAGTTCAAATTTACAAAGATTTTAATTTGAAATTCATTTTTAAATCAATATTTATTAAAAAATTCTACGAGAATTCAATTATTTAAGTAAAAAAATAAATATTTTATTAAACAATTGAATGATGTTTCTTAAAATTGAATTTTTATAAAGAATTTTAATAACAAATTTTTAAATAATTGAATTCTCTTGACAAATTTTTAGAAAATTTTTAAGAATAATTTCATTTTTCGAGAAATTTGATGAAAATTGTATAAAAAATAATTGAAATTCTGCCAAGAATTTTATTAAAAGTTTTGAAAATATAATTGAATTTCGGAGAGAAATTTTATTATTTATAAAGATAATTGAAATCTTGACGAAAATTTTTGTAAATTTTTAAACATAATTGGATTTCTGCGAAAAATTATATTATTCTTGAAAATAATTGAATTCTTGAGACGAATTTTATTAAAATTTCTTTTTAAATTATTTAATTATTTTGTAAAATTTTATTGAAATAGAAGACATTGAAAATAATTGAATTGTGACAAATTTTTTAAATTAACTAAAATTTCATTTTCTATATGAAGACTTTTATTAAAATAGCATGTAAAAATGTTATAAATAAATAAAATTATTTAAAAAAAAAATTAAATTGTTACAAAGAATTTCATTAAAATTTTGTGAAGAAATTTAATTAAAACTGTATTAAAAATAATAATCTACAATTTTTAACTAAAAAATTCTTCTCTAAATCAATTAATTTTAATAATTTTCCAGAAAATTCTTTTTTTTTAAATTTTCAAACCCATTTCTTTACAATACAATTTTACGTGAAATTTCGATTATTAGGAAATTCTCGAATTAAATATTCATTGTAGAAAATAAGAAATTCATATAATTTAAAGAAAATGCAATTAAACTTTTTCGAAAAAAATTAAAAAATTTTTTTTTGCAAGCCTTTTCAAAATTTAATTATTGCCAAAAATTCATGCTATAATGATTTTAATATTATGAAGATGTTTATGAAAATTTTAAAAAATACCTAACTGAATTCCTGAAAAAAATATTATTTTCGAAAATAATTGAATTTCTGCGACAAATAATAATAATCAATAAAATAATTGAATTTCTGGTAAAAAATTTGTTATTTTTGAAAATAATTGAATTTCTGCGAAGAATTTTATGAAATTTTTGCAAATAATTGAATTCCTATTAAAAATTTTGTTATTTTTAAAAATAATTGAATTTCTGCGAAGAATTTTGATATTTATAATGATAATTAAATTCTTGACAAGAATTTTATTAAAATTTTTGAAAAGAATTGAATTTCTTCAATCATTTGCAAAATTCAATTTGTTTTAGTGTTTTTAACTAAAATTTTTCTATAAACCCATTATTTTTAATAATTAATTAAATATATATTAAAAATTGAACTAATTTGAAAAGAATTTTAGTTTAAAAAATTTTTTTTTGAATCTAAGTTTTTTTTATATTTCGAATTAAACTAATTTAAAATGGAAATTTTACAAAATTTTAAATTAAAAATCTTTTGAAGTTCATCTATTTATGAAAATTGTAAAGGCAACTCTTTTAAAATTGAATTAATTTTGAAATGTTTAAGTGAAATTAGATTTCAGTATAATAAACACAATAATTTTAGAAAACAAGATTAAAATTCATCTTTTAGTTAAAAATCTCTCAAATGTAAACAAAAATTTCTCTTTTTTGTAGATGAATATTCGTATATTGAAAATAAAATTTAAAAATAATTGTTAAGCGGAATTTTCTTCTCACTTTGAGATTTTTTTTTTCGGTGTTGTGTAGCAACTCTGTTGTTGATATAAATTGCCTTCCTGTATGTACTAACAATTTAGCAATAATTTTCTATTTAGAAATATTTTTTTCTTTACAACTCGGACATAACAATGAAATTTGCCGTATATACAGTAAGCAATCATAATAATTAGTCCAAAATTAGGTCAAAATCTGCAGGGCATTCATTAGCATTCATCTGTTAATGAATGGGTCCGAAGTATTTGTATTTGTAGCGCATTCTAACCGAGGAACGCTTTATGTTTTACATACATTGTATAGTTGCGAATAATGGACAATGTATTTATGATTCGCGTGTGTCACAATAATCTGTGGTTTTGCGAGCATCTGCTGATGCTAAATATCGTATTCAATGAAACATTTTGTCAAGCTTTCAAATTTAACATCTGCTAAAAATTGTCCAGTGATGATCATTTAGGGAAAATGTAGATATAAATGTACAATGTTGAAAATAATATGTGGTACAACATAATAAAGGATCATTGAGGAATCGATGTTAACAATCTGGCGTTTTCTCACGTTCTTCACCTGACTTTGATATTAGTCTTTTCTTCGCTGAGACTTCACGTATATATATAATATAATACGAACAACTGTGTGTGCCCAGGGGCTTTGCTCCTAGAATGGAAATTCACAAGGGCAATTTCGTGTGAAATATGGAAATTCTCTTATTTCTTATATTAATGAGCGTCTGATTATCAGGAAAAAAATTGAAATTATATCCAACTTTATTTCACTTATAATAATTTGCTCCTCTGCTGCGATATTCGCGTCAATTTCAAGAGTATAATGTTCAGATATTCAGGGTTGCAACAAAAATTTTATTTTTCCCCGCGAATTCCGGAAAAAATTTTCACTTTTTCCCTGACCATAAAGAATATTCTGATTCACTCTAAAAATTAAAAATTTTGATTTTCAAAGATTTTAATTTAACAGGAATTCAATTATTTTTAAAAATTTCATAGAATTCTTCCCAGAAATTCAATTATTTTCAAAAATAACAAAATTTTTACCAGACATTCAATTATTTTAAAAAATTTCATAAAATTCTTCGCAGAAATTCAATTATTTTCAAAAATAACAAAATTTTTACCACAAATTCAATTATTTTAAAAAATTTTATAAAATTCTTCGCAGAAATTAAATTATTTTCAAAAATAACAAAATTATTACCATAAATTCAATTATTTAAAAAAATTTCATAAAATTCTTCGCAGAAATTCAATTATTTTCAAAAATAACAAAATTTTTACCAGACATTCAATTATTTTAAAAAATTTCATAAAATTCTTCGCAGAAATTCAATTATTTTCAAAAATTTCAAGTAAAGTTCTTGGAATGAATTCAATTATCTTTTCATAAATAACAGAATTCTTCCAAAAAATTCAATTCTTTTAAAAAATATCAAAATTTTTAGCAGGAATTCATTTAAAAAATTTTTAAAATTTTCATAAACATCTTCACAATATTAAAAGCATTATACCATGAATTTTTGGCAATAATTAAGTTTTGAAAAGGTTTGGAAAATAAAATTTTTAAATTTTTTTCGAAAAAGTTTAATTGCATTTTTTTTTAAATTATTTGAATTTTTTATTTTCTACAATGAATATTCAATTAGAGAATTTCCTATAATAATCGAAAGTTCACGTAAAATTGTATTGTAAAGAAGTGGATTTGAAAATTCTCAAAAAGAATTATTTCGATAATTATTAAAAATAATAGATTTAGAGAAGAATTTTTCAGTTAAAAATTGTAGATTATTATTTTTAATACAG